CTGTCCACTGGCTTTGAGTTTCCAGTTTTTTGCATCTTTCTTATCCCCAGGTCCTCAGCTGAGGGTCTTGCCTCCTGTTCAGACAAAGCGTTGAAGGCAGGGGTCTCCAACAGTGAGCTTGGCAGGCAGAATCTTGCTCTGGGTGTACCCATCAGCCTCTCCCCTCACACAAGCGTGACTGCGCCCTTCCGCTCTGTTCCCCATCCTTCAAATCCTTCTTTTCAAGCTCTCCTACCATGGTGCTTCCAGACTTGAATGCAACGTGAGTCGCGTCAGCCTGTGAGAAGGAGGGGAGCTGAGGTTCAGGTAGGAGGCGCAGCCTGTCAGGGTCTGTCAGGTGGAGAGCCAGCTTGAGCCGAAGCTTCCGCCTCAAGCCCACCTGGCAGCCCCCTCCTCCCTCTCTTCTCCGCTGACCACCAGGAGCAGTTCCAGCAGCTGCCTCTACTCAGCCTGCTCCCCCTAGTGCCCTGAGGTGGTCTGGTTTGCACCTGGGCCACCATGCTGAGACACCCACAGAGGTCTCAGCCAGGTCCTCTTCTGCCAGGAGGACCCGCGTCAGGAGTAGCTGACCAGATGTCCCCACACAACATCACGAGGGTTCCTGTGAGTGGGCTCACCCCCAGAAGAGCCCTGATCGGGATTTCTGGAGCAGTGGTGCCAGGTCCTAACTTGATAAGGTTTGGGTACCTCTGTTCCTTCACGTTCATAGCAGAACAACATCTAATGCAGATGAGAGAACTGGTGTGAGAAAAACATGTCCTTTGATGAGGAAGAAAAGCTCCTCTGTTCCAGTGGCCAGAGAGCCCTGGGTTCTAGTTCTAGTTCTGGGGCTGCCACTCACTGAGAAACCTGGGACAAACCACTTACCCCCTCTATGCCTCGTCCCCTGCAATGCAGGCAGTATTACACATATATGAAAATACAGGATAGATGAGAAAGTTTTAGCAAAGAGGAACGATTTTGATATTAGTCGGTAGTGTCTGTTTGCCTGGTGAGTTGCTATGTTCATGAGCACTGCAGAAGGAAGCCATCCAGGGTGGTGGTTCTGCTGCTTGGCTCCCCGAGGGTCGCTGCCTCCCCCCGTGTTGCTGTGGGGCTGAGGTCTCCTCCTTGCTTTGTACCTGACCATCAATCAGCCGCCCCTCTCAGGTTCTATCCAAGAGGAGTCTGGAGCCAGCCCAATAGCCTTGTAAGGATCTTCTTTTTAAGAAAACTGGTTTTTAGGGATAAGCTGGGGTCGGGGTTGCTGCTGGAGGCAACAGGAAGTGTTATGTTTATTTCCAGTCTAAAAAGTATTTTTAAAAAGCAGCAGCGGTGTAACCACCATACAGCATTTTGGAAAAACATGTAAAGTTTTCTCTTAATTCCGTCCCCCAAATTAAGTTACCCTTTTCTCTTTTGCACCTATCCTTCCTTCTTCCTCTATTTAGATGTACATATATCAGTATCACCTTCACAGAATGCAATTCTGGTCCTGCTTTTCTCTCTCATCACTTTCTTGTTGCAACAGTTTTTCATCAAGATCATTTTTAAGGTTGCATAATCTTCCGTCCAAAGGACATGTCACAATTTAATTAATCATTTGCCGGGCATTTGGACTGCTTACAGTTTTTTCCGCAAGTGTGAGTGATGCTGCAATGAAGTTCTTTATGCACATATATCTTTTTACTTCTTTTGGATTATTTCCGTTGGATAAATTCCCAGGAGAGTCATTAATGGGTCAGAGGCTTGGAACATTCTTATTCCTGAAACATATAGCAACTGCTATTTTAGGAAGATCAGGCTGTGCCCCTGTGCTGGGGAGACCAAGCCACATCCCTCAGTGCTGGGCCCTGCCAGGCTGAGACTGCTCTGGTGACCCCTCTCCTATCCACCCCTGTGACTCCTGTGCCCCCTTGTGGGACCCACCAGACAAGTGCGCCTGGATCCCAGCCCCCTTCCTTCTCCAAGAGCACTATAATGGTCTTTAACCTGGACTCTGAGAATGGATGTCAGAGATCCTCTATGTGCATATGAGCATTTTTAGAGAAGATCTGTAGCTAACATCACACACTTCTAAACGGGATCTAGGAAAAGGTTTGGGATCTCTGAAATATAAGGGCAGATAAGGTCAGCATCAGTAAAGTGGGTGAGGGTGAAAAGGGGGACGAACACACCTGGGCAGGGCCAGAGGGGCATGTGAGGTAGTGGTTGAAGGGTGTGCGTGGAGGTGGCGAGAAGGAACTTGTCTACAGCTGATGGACCACGGAGGAGAGCAGGGCAGATGGGACCCAAAAGGCAGGCGTGAGGACGGCCTCGGGTGCTGTGGAGAAGCACGGAGGCCACTTGGACGGTGGATTGGAGAGGAGGAGCAGAGCCTGGCCGTTGCAAAAATCCTGGGGCTGTGCTGTGGGCCTGGCCCTGGAGGGCAGCTGGCAGGGGAGGGTGGCCCCTCCTGCACTGCCCACTTGGCCCCTTTCCTCCCTTTGACCTCCGCCTACTAGAATGTTCTTTCCTGCCTAGTCCCTTGGCAGCTGCCTGTTTCGGTCCATTCTCATCTGTCAAATTGTTTGTCTTTTCTTCTGTGTACGCCTACTTCTTATTTAAATCTCACTTTTTCAGGATGATGTAAGGAGGATTCTGCCTGCTTAGCCCTCTTGAGGTTAACTGTCAAGTTTCAGTAAACCACACGAGCCGATTGGTAACCTTAATTGACAACCACGGCCTCTTTCTTGTTATTTAAAACATTGACATTTAATGATTTTCTGCTTTCAGAAATCACTGATGCTCTTGGAAAAAAGTTACAGAAAGATATAATGCAAGAAGTGACAATTCCCCACATCCTAGCCCCAGAGCTTAGCTCAGAGCTATGCTCATGGCCTCCTCACTGCTGTGAATTCCAAGGCTGCGTGTTCTTCCAGCGCACCGGCTGCTACTGCGGCTGCCTTGATCCTGCCTTAGCTGACAGCTTTGGAGCCTGGGCCGTGCCAGGAGGGCATGCGGGCCACCCCTGAGGAGGCCTGGCTTGTTTTCAGGGAAATTGGGACTGTGGTTGGGTGCATGGAGTACCTCACAGGACCGAATTTGGCTCTGATGTCTCAGGTTCCACAGGAACCCAGAGAGGCTTTTGTGGAGGGACAGGGTTCTGAGGACGAGCCTGAGAAGGCGGGAAAGGCCTGGCCGTGTGGGCTTGGGCTGCTCGGGCTGCTGCAGGCGGGCTGGCAGGGAGACCAGCACAGCACTGTGACTTTCCTAACCATCGAGGTCCCACGGCCTCTCCTTGCCCACACACCCGAGTGGCCTCTTCCCCAGCCTGGCAGGCCTTCCCCACACTCCTCACATCTGCCTCTGCCTCCCCTTAGCACGCACCTGCATGCATACCTGGGGGCGGGGAGAGCGACAGAGTAAGCCTGAGACTTGCATGGAAGCCCTGGCTGAGCGACCAAAGGGGTTTTCTGTTGCCCTGGGCATCCCACTGAAACTCATAATGAAAAAAAATGAAGATCTGTGGCCAACTTCGAAGCCTAGGGGAAGTTTAGGCCTCGTCTTTCTGATACACCTGCTGTCTTGACGCCCTCAGCAACATGTCAGGTGACACAGGAATAGCTAATATACTGAGCGCTTGTGTGCAGGCGCTGTTCTAAGTGCTTTAGGGTAATGAGTCACCTAGGCCTCCTGTTCTACCAACGAGGACACCAGGCACAGGGAAGTTTAGTAACTGCCTGGTATCACATGATGACCGAGTGGCAGGGCAGAGCACTGAGCCAGGCCCCCGGTCCAGAGCCCAGGCTCTGAACCACCGGCCCTCCTATCCTGCCCCCTGGCACCGACCAGGGCTGCACTCAGGGTGGGCTGGGAGCCCTGGGTTTCCGCCCCAGCCCTGGTGCTCACTGCGGCCTCCCGCTGGCCCTTCCTTCTCCCCTCGGGACTCCGGCAGCTGTCCCTAGGCTGCCCGGAGAGCTGGCTGTGCCCCGGATCTCTAGCTTTGAAAATTGTCCTGGTGGCTCATCTTCCGAAGCTGAGAGCTTTCTCCATGTGCCTGGTTTAGTTGGGTTCTGGGAGAAGTCCTGAGATCCTTTGTGTTGGGCTCCCCTCACCACACAGTGGGGGTCTCTGTGTCCCCCGCATTCCCTCTGCCCTGCCGGCAGGGACCCGGGATACCTGATGTCTGTTTCCTAGGCTCAGGTGGAACCAGGGAGGGCACACTGGGGTTATTTTGGCTTGTCATTCCTGAGCTGCAGTGATGCCATTTGAGGGGTTTCTAACAGTGGACATTGCTGGAAATGGGAGAATGATAGTAATAACCATTGTAAGTGCTTCAGGGTGGATCCTGTGCCAGACACACTGGGCAGAGGCAGGACTCGCCTCATTATCACCGTGTGATTCACTGCAAGAGAGTGGATTGATTTTTCCCCATGAAAACAGACATGGGAGACAGGGGCCTCCCTCTGGTGCGATGGTGAACAGGTGGGGGCTCTGGTCTGCACTGTCCTGGTGGAGAGTGGAGGGCTGCCCCACAGCAGACTACCAGGGGAGCTGAGGCCCTGCCTCTGGCTGGCAGGGGAGATGGGTTTGGGGTGGCCCGGTACAACCTCAGATTGTTGGGGGCCTCTTGGCTGCCCACCCACAGGAGAGGCCCTACTCTCTAGGGCGCACAGTGCAGGAGCAGAGGAGAGTGGGTCCACGCAGGAACCCTCACACTTCTTGTGGCATGGGGGATACCTCGGAGGCACCAAGCCAAGCTTGGATTTCTTCCCAGGTTCCTGACTCGCGTCAGGGCTCTGAAGGTGCTCTGGCCACAACCCGGAGCCTTCTCAGTGAGAGGAGCTGCCTGTCCTGGGCCTCTGGCCGCTTCCTAAGGCAGGGTCTGCGCTCTGAGGCCTCGGCGGGCATCAGCTGGTTCCTGGCTGACATCTGTCACCCAGATCAGAGTCTTTCTTCCCGGAAGTGTCTGACCTTGCCCCCGGAAGAGGACAGGCCGGACCCAGCGCTCCCCACTCACGCTCGCCTTCCTCCCACAGGAGAACCTTATGCTTTCCATCCTGCCCAAGCACGTGGCTGACGAGATGCTGAAGGACATGAAGAAGGACGAGAGCCAGAAGGACCAGCAGCAGTTCAACACCATGTACATGTACCGCCACGAGAACGTCAGGTGTGCCAGCTGCGGGCACGGGCGCCCAGAGCAGGACGGGGTGGGGCTTCGTGGGGCCGGCCGAGCACTGCAGGTTCGAGAGTTTCCCTGGGGACTAGAAGCAGGGCCATCCCCACAGTGTGAGCCCCCACTGCGGGAGCAGCCTTGTTGACGGACACTGGGGCTGAGACGCTCTGTAGGCTGGTGGTCCAGCCCCATCGTTGCACAGACATCACCCAGCGCAGGGAAGTGATGTCTGGGAGGCTGCCCAGCCATTCAGGGCCAGCACTGAGGCCCAAAGCCATGTCCTTCCGGGAAGGTCGCCTTCATCCTGGGCAGGAGAGTGAGGTGGCATGGGGACGGGGGCCCATAGAGGGAAGTCCACAAGGATTAGCTCTGTCAGAGCCCTGAGTTCACCCTGGAAGCGCCAGGGTCTCACTGCTTTGGGACTTGAGCAAGGAGCTCCCCCTGCCATGATTCTGGCTGCCGGGGGCTGGATCTGGAGCTGGCGGTGGCGTCATGCGTGTATCTGGACCTCACTGCCGCTGGCCTCCCTCCTCTGCAGCATCCTCTTCGCCGACATTGTGGGCTTCACCCAGCTGTCCTCTGCCTGCAGCGCCCAGGAGCTCGTGAAGCTGCTCAATGAGCTCTTCGCCCGCTTCGACAAGCTGGCGGCCGTGAGTACCCGACCCTCACCGGGCTTTCCAGACGGGGCCCGCCCAGACTCCCATGGAGCCCGCCCACCTGTCCGTCCTGTGCTTTCTCTGCCACGCCTCCCTGCTGAAGAGGGACACAGGACCACAGCCCATGCCCTGCCCTTTCAGAAATACCACCAGCTGCGGATTAAGATCCTGGGTGACTGCTACTACTGCATCTGTGGCCTGCCTGACTACCGGGAGGACCATGCCGTCTGCTCCATCCTCATGGGGCTCGCCATGGTGGAAGCCATCTCGTAAGTGGGTGCCTCTGGGAGGGAGGGGGCGCCTGAGCCCATGAGAGAAGTAGGCCTCTTGTGCAGGTCTCATGGTGGGCCCAGAACCCCCAGGCCCCCTCGGAGGGATCTGTTCAGGCGTGTAACGTAGGATGTGGTGATGTAATGTGGGGTGTGGCGTTGGTTAGTAGGTCGCTTAGTCCCAGCTCTGGAAAGTAGGGTCCTGGCTTACTTTACAGCTGAGAGAAACTGCAAGACTTCCACAGCCTCTGAGGGGCGCTTTTCCAGCCTTAGTCCACATCATTTTTTTTCTTCTGGAAGTTGCAGTTGTCATGAAATTCATCAGGCCCCCCCCACATTTGAATTTTCCTCCACATGTTCCCCCTTTTCGTCTCAGAGTTTTCTCACCATGACCCTCCAAGGCATATAGGTTCCAGGATCACCACGCCCATCTCCCAGATTAGAAAGTCAAAGTATCACAGTGAAGTGACTCTGCTGAGGTCCCCAGACATGTGGGGTGGCAGGACGGGACTAGAACCCTGGTCTCTGAGCTCCCAGCCAAGGCTCCTGTCTCCACTCCTGTGAGCTGTGAGGATGGCGAACTCTGCCTCCCCTCACTCTTCTCCATTGTTGTTATGCTGCAGGTGGACTTGGAGACCCTAACCCACTGTGGTCCCTCCTGGCCACTCAAGGCCTCTGGTGGGCGCTCCCTCTGGTATTGGCCTGGAGACAAATGTTGCCTCTCCCCAAGGGGGCGGTAGTTCAGGATTAGAAACTTTCACCTCCATTCCCCTCACCATCAGGCAAAATTCTGAATTTCGTGTTTGTCCCTTCCTGGAGTTCTCAAGCGAGGAGTTGTGTGCCCCTCGGCACATGCAGCACCCAGCATAGTGCTGGGCATATGCTAGATGCTCAGTGAAAAAAACACCTGCACGAATAAATAAATGGGTACTTGGAAGAGAGCAACTGGAGGTCCCTTGGGAGAAGAGGGCTGGGGGCAGAGTCACTCTGTGTACTCAGCTAAAACGCGGGCAGAAAGCTGTGGGGCATCTGGTCGGCCTCCTTGGCCCAGAGGGGAAGAAAGTTTGTGCAGGATTCCTCCTTCAGGGGGAGGGGACTGGCAACCGCTGCGGGCATGCCCTGACCCTTCCTCCTCTCTGTGTGTACCCGGCAGGTACGTGCGGGAGAAGACGAAGACCGGAGTGGACATGCGTGTGGGGGTGCACACGGGCACTGTGCTGGGGGGCGTCCTGGGCCAGAAGCGCTGGCAGTACGACGTGTGGTCTACCGACGTCACGGTGGCCAACAAAATGGAGGCCGGTGGCATCCCTGGGTGAGCACGTGTTCCTTCCCAGTGGGCAGGTGTGAGGGCCAAAGGAGGGGACCATCCCATCCATCCTTCAGGGTTCAAGGTGGGTAGTAATCGGACCTTATGGCTTTAGAGTTCAGAGCAGACTTTAATTCCTCTTCTCACTTGATACTCTCAGCAGCCTGAGAGGACAAAATTTTTGTCTTACGTGTGTCTGACACTGAGGCTCAGAGAGGGGCAGGTGCCGCGCTGCCCACACAGGACTCCTCTGTTACTGCTCGAGGTAGCAGCACACCTTACTGCCTCTACTTGGCCTCCGCCCCACCTGCCCAGAGACGCAGGCCCGAGCAGCAGCCTCGTCCAGCCGCTGTCTGCTGACTGTCCCCTGGGGGTCGGGTGAGGCCTGCCCTCCGGCCTGTGCTCAGGGCCTCTCTGGCCGCAATGCAGGCGCGTTCACATCTCCCAGAGCACCTTGAACTGCCTGAAAGGAGAGTTTGACGTGGAGCCAGGCGATGGGGGCAGCCGCTGCGATTACCTAGATGAGAAGGGCATCGAAACCTACCTCGTCATTGCGTCCAAGCCGGAGGTGAAGAAAACAGCCACTCAAAATGGCCTCAACGGCTCGGTGAGTCCCCCACCCATCTTCTGGACTAGGGGGATGGAAAGGCAGGGATTAAAGGAGAGATTGCAGAAGAGCTGACAGGACTTGACGATGGCTGAATATGAGAGGTGAGGCGCAGATTGGCATAAAAGCGATTCTGAGTCCCGTGGAGCAGGTGACTAGCGGTAGCCTCCTTTCAGAGGGCAAGCTGGTCTCTGGGGAAGATAGTGCATGTCATTCAAGGCAAGTGAAAAACAAGGGGACTGCAGTGTATCCTGACAATGTCCAGAAGGGGAGGCCACTAGGAATGTGTAAGTGGAGCTCAGGAGAGTGGCTGGCTTGGGAGTTAAGGTCCCCTGCATGGAGGAAGCAGCAGAAGCCACAGGAGTGACATGGACACCTAGGGACAGAGAGGAGGCAGTCACGGAGAGAGAGAACCGTGTCCCCTCCTCACTCGCCTCTGCCCCCCTCCCCGTGCCCTGGCCAGGCCCTTCACTCACTTTTATCTTCATTCATTTGGAACCATGAGAGCTCACTGTTTGAATCTCAGTTCTTTAATGATGAGTAAGGCTGGACACTGTTAACGTGGCTGTTAGCCAGGCGATTTTCTTCTGAGAATTGCATATTTATATCTAAACTTTAAGGGTTCCCACCCACCTGTTATTTGTAGGAGCTCTTTGTTTATAAGAGAAATTAGCCCTTTGTCATATGACGTTCATCAAATATTTATCAGGCATCCCAACCTGCTGGCACCGTGGTGCATCTCTCTTAGGGAACGTGGAAGGTCAGCTGCTGTAGGTGATTCCGGCTGTCATCCCTACACGGCTTTGTGGCAACTGTCAGCCTCTAGTGTGTGTGGGGAAGGACACCGCTTGTCACAGCTCTCATGAGCTCACGTGATTAGCTTCATAATTGTTTAGGAAGTCTCCAGCTCAAGATGGACTTGGAAAAAGCAGTGTTCACAGATCACCTAACCAGCTCTACAGTCTCTGAGTCCCAAGTGATAAAGCATGAAAATGTTAAGTGATACAGGGAGGATTGTGGGAAGAAGCAGGGAAAGTGATATGAGTTGCTTGTCTGGAAGTCACAGGAACAAATACAATTGCATTTGCAGAAATCTCTCTCTGTGGTTTAGTTGAATAAACTGATAAGGAGACTATAAGGAGAATTATCACTGTGAATCCTTTCCAGTGTTCAAAAGCTTCCAGACATCTCCCATCTATATATATTAACCTTGTTGTCCAGTTTCACTGCCGTAAGTGCCACCTCTGACAACTCCCCCATTTAGATCTTAGCCCAGCCAGCTTCCCTGCACTCAACGGATGGCTGCATGTACATCTCCATTTGTGTACCTAATAAGCACCTCAGAGTTCACAGGCCCAAAGCCAAGCTCCTGACCCTCCTCCACGCTAAAACCTGCTCTTCCCTCAGTCTCCCCATCTCAGCCAGTGGCAACTCCAGTCTTAACTGCTCAGCCCAAAAGCTTTGAAGACGTCCCTGACCCCTCTCTTTACCACCCATGAGCAAGTTCTGTTGAGCCTCCCTGCAAGATAGAGCTCTAATCTCCTCACTTTCCACCCCCCCCCCAACTCCCATTCCTGTCCAAGCCACGGTCACCTCGTGTAGGATTACGGCAGTAGTGTCCCAGCCAGTCACCCTCTTCTGTCCTTGCTCCACTGCTCTTTTCAACACAGCAGTCAGAGTGATCCTGCTAAAATGTTAAGTGAAATGTCACTCCCATCTCAGGAACAGCCAAAGTCCTACAGAGGACAGGAAGACCCGTAACAGTCAGGCCCTCACCAACCATGCCCATTCCACTCACTCTGCTCCAGCAGCACTGGCCTCTGAGCTGTTGCTAATACTCCAGGCGCATACCTGTCCCAGGGCCTTTGCACTGACTGCTTCCTCTTCCTGGAACCCTCATCCCCAGACAGCTGCATGACTTGCTCCTTGTGGTCATTACTTAAATATCACCTTCATGGTGACACTTCTCCTGACCTCTTTACAATCACACCCCCAACTATCCCTACGCCCCCTTTCCGCTTTCTCTTTCTCCAGAGCATTTTCTCCTTACGTACTGTAATAACTTATTTATTTTGCTGTTGTCTGCCCTCCCTCACTAGAATGTGAGCTTTCAAGGTCAGGACTTTTTGTCTGTATCCCCAGGAGTTAGAACAGTTCCTGTCACATAGTAGGTATTCAGTCCTTATTAAATGAATGAATGAACTGTTTCCCTGTGTTATAGTGTTTAACTTGTTGTCAAGGAAAAATCCTAATCACTGAGGAAATTTATGAAATTTATTCAGATATTTGGGAGGCATTTGACAGGGCTCTACACCAAAAAGACCTCTGTGAGTCACTGTCATTGAGTTTATGTTTTAGAAATAAGGGGAATAATAGGACAAGTTTTAATAGAAGTTAATACTAGAAAATTATAGCATTTAAAAATTAATGTTCTGAAGGAGGGATTGAGTGGTGAAATTTCTAAGTCTACAAGGCTTCTGAACTCTGGTGAGAATTCAGACTGATAGAGACCAACCACCGGTGGGCGGGCAGCTGGCCGCGTCTGGAGTCCCTGACGGCCTTTCCTTTCCACTGCAGGCCCTGCCCAATGGAGCGCCAGCTTCCTCAAAGCCCAGCTCCCCTGCCCTCATTGAAACCAAGGAGCCCAATGGGAGTGTCCACACCAGCGGTTCCACATCCGAGGAGCCCGAGGAGCAAGATGGCCAGGTATGTGCAGGGCTGGGGGCTAGGACGCAGGCACGGGTGGGGAGGCAGAAGTTGCCACAGGAAGAGGCCCATGCTCGGAGGGCTGGCCACCAGCCTGGGCTCTGCTGCTTTGTGGCAGTAACCCTGGGCAGGTCACCCCCTCCCCCCAAAGCCAGGCCCCACTGTCCCCTCATCAGTTACACGGGATGGGGGTGGGTAAGGTCAAAAGAGGAGCTCACCTCTGAGGCCTTGCCTCGTTCTGTTGTCCCAGAATCCTGTAGAGATGTGGGCAGTGAGGAGATCCCTGGAAAATTCTACAGGATCCGAGACTGTTTAGAAAGTGAGACTTCAGGGCTGAGCTCACCTCTCTGGCTGGGTCCAGACTCCACAAGTCCCGTGCACAGATGTAGGATTTCTAACAGAATTAGCATGCTGCCCGCTCTGAGGACAGGGTCCCTCTTGGGAGAGCACCCAGGGTCTGTCCATTACTCAAGAGCTTCCTGTGTGTGGTCACTGATAGAGGCGACTGCTCTGAGACAGGACTCTGCCTTGCTAGGGTTGCTGTGAGCTGGTGAGCACGACCGCCCGTCTCACTGTGAGGGGCCAGAGCTGCCCCTGGTGCCTTGAGATCCGGGGCTGGCGCATAAGGCAGACAGGGCTGGAAGTGAACTGGGCTTTTCTTGAGCGCCACAACATTCAGGCGCTTTCCCCCGTGTCACCGATTTTCCTGATAGAAAGTAGAAATACAGACTTGATGTAACTCCGTAACAGGAAGGACAATTCTAGCAGCCCGTGATTTTCTGTGTCTTCACAATTAGCCAGTGTCACACCATTCCAGGATGTACTTCAGGAATGGAGGTCCCTGGTGCTGGAACAGATCATCCACATCATTTTATGGAGAAGGAAATGGGGCTAGGGGACATGAATTATATGGGATCACACTGTCATCCAATGGCCCAACTGAGCTTAAGACCAGGGTATCTTGATTCTGGCTTCCAGGTACTCTTGGGCCCATACAGATGGTTCTGGCGTGCCCGGTCTTGATTCTTAATTAGACCAATGGCTGCGTAATCAGAGTCTGGATTCATATTTTTGGAGCTGATGCTTTTCCTTTGTAACTGGGAATAAAAATGGTAGCGGGCACCCAAGCCCCATCACCCCACTAGTGACAAGGACATGACTTCCTGTCCCATCACTTTCCCTCTCAGATCTTCCTCCCCAAGATGAACTAGATGTGAGCTCCTTTAGGAGCTCATTAAGCCCTAGGATTGGGGGTATTCCCATCCCTGAGGGTGCTGACGTATATGGCTGTGTGCTGCCCCCATCCTTGTAGCAGGATGTGCCAGGCCTGAGCAGACCCAGCAGTGGTGTCCCAGTCGGGAGCCAGGTGGCTGTTCTCCCACAGTGCTGCCATTAGTGGGGGACCACTACAGAGCTCGTTAGGGGCTACAGTGCCTGGGACCTGGAGTCCCAGGGAAACCAGGAGGGATCGTGGCCTTGGGTCTAGACCCAAGTGGGAGGGAGCCACATGGGGGCACCAGGAAGACTTTTCCCTGAAAATGGTTTCTAGAGCCAAGGAATCAGTCCTTGACTGTTACGCTCCCTCCCGCCCTGTCTTTCCTCAACTCCTTCCCCGCACTCCATCCCACCTGACCCCAACTCTGCTGCTCTGCCTTGTAGGCCGACAACCCCTCATTCCCAAACCCTCGCCGGAGGCTGCGCCTTCAGGACCTGGCCGATCGCGTGGTGGACGCCTCAGAGGACGAGCACGAGCTCAACCAGCTGCTCAACGAGGCCTTGCTTGAGCGGGAGTCAGCCCAGGTGTAAGTGGCCCGCACACACCCGGGCCCGAAGCCCCTCAGCGTGTGCCTTTTCAGGCCGTCGGGGGCTCAGGACGTTAAGTCACCTTAAATATGATAGGCTGAGGCAGAGGTGGAGTTTATGTTTCACGAGGCTTATTTCCACTGCAGAGTGAAGAAGAGAAACACCTTCCTCTTATCCATGCGGTTCATGGACCCCGAGATGGAAACCCGGTACTCGGTGGAGAAGGAAAAGCAGAGTGGAGCGGCCTTTAGCTGCTCCTGCGTGGTCCTGCTCTGTACGGCTCTGGTCGAGATCCTCATTGACCCCTGGTGAGGGGGTCACTGCAGGAGCCCACAGGCCTGAGGGATGGGGGCGCCTCAGTTGGAGCCTGATGTAGGGTGGCTCTGGGACAAGGAGGCAGAGGATGGGGACACTTGTCAACTTCAGTCACCAAGGCCGATCTGGCTCCCTTTCGTGGCTCTTCTTAGTAAAGACAGATTTTAGGCTCTGGGCACAGATGGGTATCTCTAACCCAGCAGCAGGTCCTCTGGGGCAAGGTGGAGGTTCTGGAGTCCTTGCCCCAAATGCTGAAGCCCCGCTGAGGGACGACCCCTCCCCCTGCCCGAGCCAATCAGCAGCTCACTCCTGCTCAGGGATTTCTCATCAGAAAGGAGCAGGTGCGGAGCCCGGCTCCAGTTAACAGCTTGGGGAACTCCAAAGAGCCCTGGACTGTCACATGGTCCTAGGTTCTGGAGTGGTTTCCACGCCTAATTGTAGGACCTCGGGCATGTCGCTGTGGGTTCCTGGAGCACCAGTTTACTCACCTGTAAAGCAAAGCTGATGATGATGATGATAATCTGGGGATAACAATACCTGCCCTAGGCTAACTCTCAAGGTTGTTGTGAGGATCAAATTTCACTCACTTCACAAATGTTTATTGTCTACGTTGTGCCTTGGGCTAAGGTCTAGGAATGTAGCAATGAATGCAACATAAAATCCTCACACTAGTGAAACTTACATTCTAGAAGGGGAAAATAGACATAAGCAATTAAGTAATCTAAACATGTATGAGACAGGTGAGTGCCATGCATAAACGTTAAAGCGAGGAAGGGAGATGGAGATGCAGGTGGTGAGCTGAATTTTGATTTGTTTGCATTTTTATGTAGGATGCTCAGAGCAGGCTTCACTGCCAGGGTGATATTTGAGGAAAGGCGTGAAGGGAGGAATAAGAGGCCACGGAGAATCAGGCACTGGATCAGCAACACTTAGGTCTCTGGGGCTCTTGGCAAGAGCACTGAGTGGAGTGAAACCAAACGGGAATGGGTGTGAGAATGGGGGATTTGGAGACAGCAGGTTTCTAGAGTTCATGAGGTGAGAGGGATGTGGAAGGACCTTGTCAAGTGGAAGGCTCTGTGCAGTTGTCAAAAGGCTAACTCTTAGCAGCACTTGGCAGTGAGGGAGTGCGGCTCTACTCTCTCCCTCCATCATAGCTATGTGGCAACAAGCTTATTTCTAAGACTCTCTTCCCGGGTTTTTAGCTGGGCATCTGCCCTGGGCATCTGCGAGTCTGCCCTTCTCTGGGAAATGTCTCGTCAACAGTTACAGCTGGGGAGGGTCACACATTCCCAGGCCCTGTGCTTCCCTGGTGTCACACGGAACTTTTCAGGTACAGGCTTGTGCCTTACTCCAAACGCCTGCCTTCTGCCTCCTTTCCTTTACTCTACTAGCCCCTCACACAGTCTCACTATTCCCTCTGGTCCCCTCCCTAATTGTCATCTCCCTGTTACAGGCTAATGACAAACTATGTGACCTTTGTGGTTGGGGAGGTTCTGCTTCTGATCCTGACCATCTGCTCGCTGGCTGCCATCTTTCCCCGGGTAAGCAGCACTTTTCCTTTTGGCCCAGAGGCCCTCTGAAGTGAGCGTCATTTCCCGTGAAAGCGGGTATTGGAGGTATGCGTTCTGTCAGAGCCTTACAAGTAGATTACAAAGCTTCTGTTAGGATGGTTCAGGCATTTAGCCATTCAGTCATTCATTGACGTCAGCCGAGCACCCACTTTGGGCTGGGCTGTGATGCTGGCACACGCATGGGTGCCTAAGCCAGAGTCTAGATGTGGGGACCTGTGCAGAAGGGCAGTGGAGGCCCACCTGGAAGGTACCTGGCTCTGACTGAAGGACCTTGAAACCCAGACAAAAGGATTAAGACTTACTTCTATAAGCACTGGGGTGCCTTGCAGGTTTTGATCAGAATAACAAAGGGAAAGGTACTGTTTTAGGAAAATGAATCTGGCATGTGTCTTGCCAGGTATCTTGGAGGACTTAGGTATTACTGACCTGGGAAAAGCAGGAGTAGGCAAAGACGGCTGGCCCTGAAAATGCTTCCCTGACTTGGCCTTGTCATGTGGAGACAGGGAGCGGGTATTGCTGGCTGGTGCTGCCCACAGCCTCCAGGGCTGGTCCGTGTCTTCTCTAAGGAAAGGGCTCTGCTATCTGGAAGCTGTGGTATTTCCTCAGTAAGTCCAGTAGGAGTGACACAGAGCATCGGGATTTCTGCGCTCCCTTCTCAACTCTAACATTGTCCATTCTGGTTATCTCACATGCCAAGCACGACTCTAGGTTCCTGGGAAGTATGGCAGCACCCAGGGTCGGGAGCAGTCATGTTTACAGGGAAAAAGGCTCATGGTCCTTGACACTCCATTCCTTCTAGGCCTTTCCTAAGAAGCTCGTGGCCTTCTCGACTTGGATTGACCGGACTCGCTGGGCCAGAAACACCTGGGCCATGTTAGCCATCTTCATTCTGGTCATGTCAAACACTGTAGACATGGTGAGTTCCCGCTGTGCTTGAAGGGACAGTCCCCGCTTTCAGTGGAAAAGGCTTCCGTATTGGCCAGCACGGGCAGCCTGTCAACCCCATTCCTCTTCTACGAGACACAGGTTTACAGTGGCATTAGGTTCCTAAACAGATCATCCTGGCCAAATGGAGGGGTCTTCTCCCCAGGAAAACTCCCAGACTGACTGGTTTCCCTAGCTCCTCACTTCCCCAGAGTCCAAGAGCCCACCCAGCACCACGCACCAGGTCCTGCACAGGGTGCTTTACATACACTGACCCACTGAATCTTTATTACAATCCCAAGAGGTCGGTACTGTTAGCTGTACTTTCATATGAAGAACTAATGCTCCGAGAGGTTAATTCAGTTGTTTTAAGTCACACTGCCAATAAGAAACAGAGTCAAGAATTGAATCAGGTCAAAATCCCAATCCTGATTTTTTCTTCTCTATCTCACTGACCAAGGGGCACAGCACTCTTAAGCGTTTGTTTATCTAAGTATTCCCTACAGTGTGGCTGGTCAGGTATCCCTCAGGACCAGGGAGGTAAACCTCTTCCACTAAAGGAGCTCTCCTGCTTGGCCTTCATCCATTTGAACATGGCCAGATCTTCCTACAGCTGGGTCGCTGGGGGCAGCAGCTTCAGAGGCTGAATGGCCAGGGGCAGACAAAATCCTTTTCTCTGCTGTCCTCAGTTCCTGGAGAAGCTTCGCGAGTGCCATGAGGGGTGGCCAGATGCTCTCTTGGGGAGAAGGGAAAACAACTGGAAGCCGAGATCCACTGATCCAGAGCCACCAGTGGTTCGCTGAGCATTGGGGGCTGGGAGCTGTCGTTGATGTTGTCAGTTGTCACGGCTCCTCCCAATTTTGGTGGTACTATAGACACCCTTAAAAAAGTCCTTTTTTTCAAATATAGTGTTATATTATTTGCTTCATTTTCTTTGACAATCTCAGCACAGGAAAAACCTCAGTATGGAGACTTATTCTGGCAGCAGTATAGGTGACACAGCCCTAGGGCCAACTGACCAAAAATCCAACTGGATGGAATTAGGAGCTCTAGACTCTAGCGTGCCCTGGGTTGCACGGTGCCCACAGTATGGGGAAGAGAAGCCTCGCATGTCACAGCACACCTGGATCTGGGGACCACTAACAGGGTCATGGACACTGTGCAGGACACCTGGAGATCCTGTCACCAGTGGAGGGTGAAAGTCCAGGGAGGTAGGGAAACTTTTCACATGCTGGACTTCCCCCATGCCGAAGTTCCCATGCTGAGAACTGCCCCAAAGCCAGACAAGCTCCAGTGGGTGAAGGTTACCAAAAGGTTTGATTCAGTTTATAGATGCACTTTATACTGACTACATCTGCCCAGCAGTGGAACCAGTGACCAGACTCGAGAAATGGAAGCGTTTGGGCAGCCTGGCTGCCATCACAGCAGGCTGTGAACGGTGGTTGACTGGCTGGCCCCACAGCTGCTCCGTAACAGTGTGCTGTGGGCAAGAGCCTGTTGGACTTGAAACTTGCTGGACTCCTAGCTCTGTTTTTACAACTTGCTAATTGTGCTACTTTGGGCAAGTCCAGCCTCTCTGAGTTTTCTATACAATGGCGGCAATACTAAAAACACTTAAGAAGAGAGTTTGTGTGAACATCAAGTGAGATGATGGTAAAGCTCTTAGTAGGAATTCCTAGTGTTTATATATATTATTCCTTGGTAAATTTCCCGTCTTTCTCGGTGTTTCTGAGGGAGCTGTGGAAGTGGCAGCTGAATGTACTCTGCCACAGAGTACATATAACACAGAGCCTTCCCTAACCAGTTTGCTGTCCCCTTGCACCCCATGTCCCCCTGTGGTTCTGGCCTCCAGCTTAGCTGCCTCCAGTACTACATGGGACCCAACGGCACTGCAGGGATGGAGATAGAGGATGGCTGCATGGAGAACCCCAAGTATTACAACTACATCGCCGTGCTGTCCCTCATCGCCACCATCATGCTGGTGCAGGTCAGCCACATGGTGAAGCTCACGCTCATGCTGCTCGTCACGGGCGCTGTGGCCGTCATCAACATCTATGCCTGGCGCCCCATCTTTGATGAATATGACCGCAGACGTTTCCAGAAACACGAGTAAGAGGGGATATGGATTTCCTCCTTCCTCCTACCCCCCAAGTCCCCATTTCAAAGTCCTGGCCCTGCACTGAGGTAGCTGTCTCTAGGGTTCCTCGAAGGCTTGTATGGGGATCAGGGCTCGTGGCTTCTCTTGGCTGTGAACCTGGGCTAGACTTGCCATTCCTGATGAGTGGAAGATCTGGGTTACCTCAGTGTTTGCTGGGCATTAGCTTCTCATACCCAGAGGTGGCCTGAGTGTTCTATTATTGTCCAGCAGCTTTTCTATGGTTGCCGTAGAGAAGATGCAGATATTCTCCACCCCCGGGCTCAACGGCACTGACAGGTAAGGGTGGTTCCTTTCCCTCCTGTTCTGCATTTTCGGCCTCTTTCTTCTAGATAGGGAATACCACAGGCCAGAGCCCCATGATCTCACCCTTCCAAAGGCACATGATATGGGATGCTTACTTTAGAGGAGTGTGTGTTTCTATAGGTGGAATGATTTTAGTGTGGACCTGGCCCTCCTGGCCTATCCTGAGTCAGAGAGGGAACCGAGAAGTCAGATGGATACTATCTGCATGTAACTGGCAGGAAGGACAGACAGCAAAAAAGTGAGGAGGAAAGAACACTGCATTCGGACTAGAAGACCTGGATTCTTGACCTGCCACAGGAATTCTCCGTGGGGCTGCAGGCAGCCCAGTTTTCCTGAGTCTGTTTCATCCCTTGAAGAGGACAGTGGACTCATCCAAGGTCCTGTTAGCTCTAAAGTTTGAGAATTTTATGATTCAGTGACTTGACTAGAGCTTCAAGTTAAAAAACAAACCACAAACTTTGGCCACTAATAAATGAAAGGTATCCCCGTAATCAGGAAATGCAAATTAAGACCACAACGAAAGACCATTAAACACCGACCAGTTTGGCAAGAACTATTTAAGAAGTCTGATAATATCAAGTATGATGGTAACTCATACACTCCTGATTGGAGTATGTATTGGTACAGACACTTTAGAAAACCATGTGGAGTTATTTGAAGTAAAGTTGAAAACAGAGCCGTGACCCACCAATTTGTGGTACACATACACCTTAGAGAAATCCATGTACATCTGTATATCCAGGATGTGTGTCCTTAGTCACACTGTTTGTATATGATAACCACATACACAAACATCCAAAACGAAGGAAAACAATCCAAATTACAACAGTAAATAGGTATGTAAATTGTGGTATAAACAATACTATACAGAAATGAAAATAATGACCTATAGCTCCACACAAAACATATGCGTAAAGTTATAAAAAAGCATGGTAAAATTGTGCCTTGGTCCAATGGCTGTGACGTTAGTTTCTCCTTTCTCCAAATTCTTGCATGGTTGCAGCTACTCCTGGGGTCAGTCAGGTGACACAGTGTTTACTAAACATCGGGTAGCAGCCCTGATATAGGTTCCAAGTGCAGACAGAAGGGGCCAGGGTGGGTTGGCTGTTAGGAGCCCAGTAATTTAAGGAAGCTTTATTGCCCAGTGGGAATCTGGGCTTGATGTGAAGGCGCTTAAGGAGCTGGGACAAGTTTCTGGGGCCTCGGATGACAGCCCAGTCAGAGGAAATAAAACTCCATGTCAGCTGGATTCCTCTGCCCTGCAGGCTGTCCCTGGTGCCTTCTAAGTACTCGATGACAGTGATGGTCTTCGTCATGATGCTGAGTTTCTACTACTTCTCCCGCCACGTGAGTGCCCGCACACCCTCCTTTCCTGCTCATAACCCATCAGGGCCTCCAGAGAAGCAGGCCCAAGATCTAAGAACCCAAGCTCCTAAGGAACGCTGGTTTCCTTTACCCAACATGGCACGTGACCCTGTCAAGCCACTACCTTCTCCATTTCCTGGTCTTTTCCTCAGTGACACAAGCAGAACAGTTCTTTACCTCTTCCTTCTGACCTCCTCTAGGATGCTGAAGGAAGCATGGGGAGGGGTGTCAAAACCCGGATAAATTCTCTAGTCCCTAGGCCAGAGGCTCATGGGTCTTCATTCACCCTGGCTCCGGAGGTCACCAACACACTGGCCACACAGCCAGAAGAGAAAGGGAAAGAAGCTGATGAAGTTTTTGTTTGGTTAAAACGCAGAAAGGAGAGGGGAAGAGGGCAGGGAAGTGTATGTATGCAAGGGACTTACTGCTCCATGTTAGCACAGGTGCCACCCAGTGGTTGGCCAGGGGAAGTACAGCCTTCCCAAGCACTTCGTGGCCAAAGGGGGTCGCCGGGACATGGGGGCCACTCCCTGGGTTAGGAGATCCCCACTGCTGCCACCACCAGCAAGTCAGACCTGTAGCTACAATAGATCCCAGGAGTCCCCACACATCCAGAAGGCCTCTTAGTTCTGTGCTGTAACCACACAGGCTGGGATCCTCACTGCAGCCTTAGGGTGGCCTTTTTGATAAAATGGATCACAATTTCTGGGTCTCCTTAACCTCGCCATGTGGATCCCCTCCACTCAAGTTCCCATTTTCCATATTTCCATCAAACAGCCAGCTTAGAGCATATACCTTGCCTGTGCCTGTGTCTGCAGGTGGAAAAACTGGCACGGACACTGTTCTTGTGGAAGATTGAGGTCCATGAACAGAAGGAACGTGTCTATGAGATGCGACGCTGGAATGAGGCCTTGGTCACCAACATGTTGCCTGAGCACGTGGCACGCCATTTCCTGGGTTCCAAGAAGAGAGATGAGGTGAGGAGTGGCCTTGTGCTGTGTGTAGCCTGGAGCCATGGGGTTGTGTCTTCATCTGGTTCGCTGCCAGGGAGCGCCTGTGAACCCAGGCCTTCTCATGACACAGCACCGGGGCCTGCTACAAACATTGTTTCTGGGCCTCACTGGTCGGTGAGGCCCCATTCCAGCGGACGAAGCCCTGGCAAGAGCCTGGCTTTCTGTCAGTGTGATCGTCGTGAACAGAACGGTTCTTATGCCTTACTTCCCAACTCCACTCTACCCTTTCTCAAAGCTGAGGCTGTTATAGGGACTAGAGAAGCTAGTTTGTATTTATTCAGAGTTGGTGATGAGAACTACCTCTTAATTCCAAGTTGAGATAATCGGGGAGATGTGAGTGCACCTCTCATCGAAGTGGAGGGTAGAGTCATTTCTGTAGCACATTATTCAGTCAGTTGCTTTCAGCCCTTTGACTGTGCCTCTTTTCAGGAGCTGTACAGCCAGTCTTATGATGAGATTGGAGTCATGTTTGCCTCCCTGCCCAACTTTGCCGACTTCTACACCGAGGAGAGCATCAATAATGGTGGCATTGAGTGTCTGCGCTTCCTCAACGAGATCATTTCGGATTTTGACTCCGTGAGTGCTCATCCTGCCCCATCCCCCACCTGCCACAAAGCCACTTGTTCCCCATCACATCTCGGGACAAGCAGCAGGTGTCAGAGCGAAGGTGGAGACTTACTCTAACTGGCTCCATTTCCCCCGTAGGCCCCTCCCTGGAATGTATGGGCTTCTGCAGCCATCTGGAAATATTAGGTGGCGGTGTGTGTGTGTGTGGGCAGGGGGGCGGGGAAGCCTGGGAAATAGCCTCCAAGTTCACAGCGTAAGGACTGGCCAAAACAAGATCCTGAGGCCCCTCTGATTCCTCCTACCCTCAAGTTCAGATTCATTAAGCCTTTAGTAGGTATCTTGTACATCATGGAAAATGTTTTTACATAACATGCTCAGCCATCCTAGGAGATTGACAGCTTTCTCCCAGTGTTACGGTTGTAGAAACTGAGGCTCAGAAAATCAGGACGTTTGCTTAGGACCATGTGGCAGATAAATGGCAGAATAAAACTTTTATAGGAAAGCATCTCTTGGATGTTTTGTGGGGTCACTATAAACGGGTGAGTCTTTCGTTTGGTTGGCTCATTCATATCTCCATTGACTGCTGACAATCTTCTCTTCCTTAATACTGGCCTTAGCTCCTGGACAATCCCAAATTCCGGGTCATCACCAAGATCAAAACCATTGGCAGCACCTATATGGCAGCTTCAGGAGTCACCCCCGATGTCAACACCAATGGCTTTACCAGCTCCAACAAGGTACCTAACCCCCTCAATGGCCAAAGAGGAAATGGCAAGAGACAGGCAGCCCACACCCAGCACGTGGTCAAGTGAAGCTAACGTTACTGTTGTACGAAGGCACTTTGCAGTAGTACAGACATACACCACGAGGCCCACGCAATGCAAACTTACAAGTTGGGTTTACTGAGAAAGTGCAAAGAGCAACGAGAACAGAACCCACACAGCCACCCACTACTGTTTACAGTTGAGGCAGGCACAAGATGCTACGTGTAACTGCAACCATGCCCCTTCCTGTACTTTCCTAAGAACTGGGCAGCTATGCGGTTATGGAGCAGTGAAAACACCCAGGGTGGGGAGGTGGTTCTGTTAGAAAAGGGACATCTTCACAGCCCACTGGCTGACGCCAGCCTGTCGAATCAGACCTACGGAGCCAGCCAGCTCTATTTAGCTACTAGAAGGAGAAGAAATGAGCTGCAAGGGCCCTGGCCCAAGGGCCGTCCTTAGAACCTAATTCTGTCTCATCTCATAACTGCCATCTCGATTTTATGGAAGAGGTTAAAGAAACATGCCTAAGATGGGTGTCACCCTCAAGTGCTTATAGTCTAGCTGAGGAATCAAAATGAGGACAACCACTCCAAATCCAAAGCCCAGGTTCAGGCAAGGTAGTGATGAGACAGGACTCCTGCGCAGGTACACAGCAGACAGGAAGCAAACAGGCTGGGGAGACATGTCCCCACCACCCCCGCCCAGTCATTCCCCTAGACCTACAGGGACCCCTGTGAGCTGTCACAGTGAAAGTGGGAGCTAAGAGGGTGCTGATTCCCTTGGGGGAAAAAAATGAAGACTAGGCCTTTGAAAACCGGACAAAGGGACTGACCTCCTGAACGTTAAGGAAAGAAGGTGACCATAGGCTGCTGCGGTCGCAGGCCCCTCATGCCTTCACTGCTGCTCTCTGGCACAGGAGGAAAAGTCAGACAAGGAGCGCTGGCAGCACCTGGCTGACCTGGCGGACTTCGCCCTCGCCATGAAGGATACGCTTACAAACATCAACAACCAGTCCTTCAACAACTTCATGCTGCGCATAGGTGAGGCTCTAGGCTCGCCTGCCCCCTGGCGTGCTCCCTTCTGATGTAGGGGACTCGGCGAGAAGGATGACAGGCTTAGACCTGAGGCTGGGGAGGGCCATGCACTCAGAGCAGGAAGGGACCTTAAGTCCCATCCCTTCTAGATGATCAAGCCGCAAGTGTGACTGATGAAGTGGGGGTCAGCTGTCCCTGCCCCCGTGTTTACAATGATAGCTTCCTTCTGAATCTGCCCGGGGAGTCAGTTTGTCTACTTTTCCAAGGAATCTTCTATGCCTCAGTCCAGCCTGTTAGGAGTTACCCACTACTGGGAATTGGGGGTGCGGTGGGGGTGCGGTCTCACACCTTCTGATGAGGTCACAGGAGCGTTAATACCAGGTATGTGAGACAGAAACTGGGCAACTTCTGTACTGAGGAAATTAATCAGCATATTGTGGGTAGCTGACAATCTGCCCAGCACATGGTGAGGGCAGGATAGACAGACATTTCTGCCCTCCAGGAGCTTAGAGAAGCAAGCTTCACGAGGAATAGTTTATATGTAATATTATAATATATATATATATATATATATATATATATATATATATATATATGCGCTAGGGGTCGGGTGGCAAATTCTGAGAGAGGTGTTGGTAGCTTGAGGCAGTAATACAAGGTCTGGCATGTGGCCATGCTGCTCTTTCTGTCTACCCAGGCATGAACAAAGGAGGGGTACTGGCTGGGGTCATTGGAGCCCGGAAACCACACTACGATATCTGGGGCAATACAGTCAACGTAGCCAGCAGAATGGAGTCCACCGGCGTCATGGGCAACATTCAGGTACGTCCAGCAACAGAGCCGGCATGTGCTCAGAGCCAGGCGACGGCAAAACTGGAATGCTGCTTTGCCAAGCACGTCTGTCTGCTTTCTGTTGGGCCAGACTATTAAGTCAGCAGTGCTCTCTATGGGAAAGGGCAAGAGCGGGAAAAGATGCCTCTTTCATCAGCCTCAGTAGAAGGGAGAAAATACTTCAACCCCACCTGTAAAGATTTACGTTTAAGTTCTAGGTAATAATATCCTGCCCTCTTGGTATGAACTTTCTGGCATCTTGTGCCTCCAGCAGCTCCCCCGATCTCTATCCGCTGGGTCTGGGAGGAAAAGCTCCCCCACAGGCGACGTGGGGCTGTGAGGAGAGCAGCGAGCTTTGGGAGAGGGGAGGCAACCACCCCGTGCTCTACTGTGCTCGTGCATGGAGTGAAGGGGGCTACAGGTCAGCTTGACGGGGTGGGACCTGGCGGTCATGTGGGGATACCGCCTGGGGAGCCTCGGTCCAGGCTCGCTCTGTACTCTGTTCTCCCTCTGCAGGTGGTAGAAGAAACGCAAGCCATCCTTCGAGAGTACGGCTTCCGCTTTGTGAGGCGAGGGCCCATCTTTGTGAAGGGGAAGGGGGAGCTGCTCACCTTCTTCCTGAAGGGGCGCGAGAAGCCCGCCACCTTCCCCAACGGCTCCTCGGTCACGCTGCCCCACCAGGTACTAGACAGCGCCTGAGGGGCCGCTGCCCCACAGCAGTCCAGAGGGGAAGGGAGAACGGATGGTGTGGAATCAAAGACAGGCCTTGGGAAAGGACCAGTGACCAAGTCCCGATGTTCCCAAATTGCTCAAGTGCACACTCACATAGACTTTAGATTTACAAATCTCCTCAAGCCTTCATTTGTTCGTGGACGTGTGAGCTCTGAGGGTGGCCGTTCTATGCCTCCTTGTGCCTGTAGCTTCCCCAGAGAGTAAGGGTCGTAGGCGTGGCCCTGGGGCATTCCTTCCAGAGCGCGAGTTCTGCCCAACCCTTCTTCCCCCAGAGAGGCCACGGCCACTGTGAGCAGGGAGGTATCAGGGCGCACAGGTGGGGAAGTCAGCTCGAGGTGAAGTTTGGCAGGGAGGGACAACCACTGGCTGATGGCGTGCTCCCAGCTGTAACGTGACGCAGTGCTCCTCAGGCTGGAGCCCTGCTCGTCTCCAGGTGGTCCGAGTTAAGGGAGAGGGCCCTTGTCCTGATAATCTTGAAAGGTTCTTCTGGAACCCCTGTCACCTTAGTTATAAGAGCAGAAAGTGCAATATTTCCTTTTACCTGGTGGGAGGGAAAGGGAATTTATTTCTGAGAGAAAAATATATAAACAGATCTTCTACATTTATATTTTTAACTTTCTGTTAAAAAACACTTTTCGATATTGCCTTGCCTTTTGAGCTCTTGCTACAGTCGCCTTTGCTACTGCTTTAAAAGAGAATTTACAGGTATTGATAAAGAACACGACTGTTTTATTAAAAGCTTTCTTCAACTTGAATGTGATCATTGTGAAAATCCCGTTACTACCTCTCCTCCGCGAAGTACTGAGTGTTTTGCTAACGCACACCGCAAGCTTGGAAGGCACAAGAGCTGGAACTAAGATCTTTTATTCTTGAGCTGCTTTCCTCTAAATGTCTCCTAAATGGTGGTCCAACCTGACTTTACCATTCCCTTGTGCTCCTCCCAGAGTTCTCATACTTGTAGGTTACTTCCTAGTCGTCAGGTCTAGGAACTGACCATTTTAAAATGAGAGAAGCCTCAACACAGCTCTGGGCCTTGGGTAGGAATGACTCCTATTTGTGACTGGGCAAAGGGGGCAGGAATTGAAATGGCAGGACCTGGCCAGCCAGACACATCTGTGAACTGGCCCTACACTTCCTCCCTTAAGCCAAGGCAAAGTGCCAGCAGATCCAAGGCACTGGTTACAACGAGAGACGGTACATACACTAGCCGGACCTGGAGTGAGCAAGACACCTGTCCAGCCATGGCTCAGAGCACACAGGACAGAAGACGGGAGGGTCTGCTTCCCTTTGCAGCAGCTCAGCTAGGAGCAGACTTCTATGCTTTTTACAGGGGACTTAAATCAGTCAACTTTGTACTGAGATGGCTTAGGAAACAAAATATTAGATACACAGAACCCTGATTGTTTTATCCATAGTATTTTCAGCCACCATGTTCTTCAAAAGCAGTAGTCTAGAATACAGTGCTCCAAACTAAAGATTAAAAACACTTCCCTCCTTAACTATAATGATTCATCTCATATGAACCCAGAGTATTCTAAAAACTTTCTTTTCAAATATCTCAGATAGGGAAGTGAGGTGGAATTACTTAAAGCTCTCATAAAATGCCTCCTACTGCCCCACAAACCATTCTGATTTTTAGCTAAAATGTATGGTCAAATCAGTGTCTCCAAGAAGAGGTGATCTTGAGCATTCTAACAAGTGACCAGGCAATCACGGAGAATTGTCCCAAAATGCCGATGTCTACAGACTCAAACTTGCCCTTTTACCATCAAACTTGCAATGAGAACAGACCACCACCTCATCAGAGGCAAGGATGTCTCCCCAGGCAAGGAGTCTGAGCCTTTCAACCATTTTCAGTTCCCAAGACCTTGCTTGGGACTGTGTACAGTACTTGTTTACTCACTTATGATGTGTTCCCAATGAAAATAGTATTCTAGATGACCAGGCTTGTATCCGACTTTTTTCTTCTTATAAATGAAGCAAACACTTGGTGGAGGGGCTTTGTATGAAACAGGTTTTCATGAGATGCTCGCTGTTGTTCCCACAAGGTGGGTAATGTGTCTGTCCCTAAAACAGACAGATTCTGTCAGTCTCATCTCATGCAATTAGGGCATTCAGACCCTGGATCGCTAACATTCTGGACCCAGGTAACTTGATTTTTTTTGGTCTGGAGCTGAGAGAGGCTGGCCCTTATTGAACCAATGTAATTTTGAGACTGGAAACTTAGAACAGACTGTGCCCAGAGAAATTGAAAACCTATGGTATGAAACCTGTGGCAGCCTCAAAATTTCTGCCTCCTAAAAACATGTTATCCTATTTCTTATTATTGCTCATGTCACATCACTATGGTACATTTAACTGAAACAAAATCACACACACACAAAATCTCTCAGCTAGCCCTGAAAAATTCCCATTCAGAGAACAGTCTCCAGAGAGCTAACTGTATACTGATTTGTCATGTCCATTTGGCCTCACAGCGAAATGAGTCTTGGCTCTCGTCACCAGTGACCCTATGACTCAGCCTCATTAGCTGTCCCTTTAAGAGGGGTCTCTAATGAAAACAAATTATAAGCTGAAAGAACACTGGCCGAGTTGGAAAGAACAAGGGAGGAGGGAAAACTATGATTGTGTTTACTACTTACGAAGAGGAAATATTGGTAGAAACAAAGAAAATATTCTTTGTATTTTATTGTCATTGTATTTTTCTGCTTATGGTACATAAACAGAAGCAAGTGTCTCAAGAGTTCCAACTGTTTCATTCAATCCGAATAAGCCGGCGCATGTTATATAATTTCTCCACTGAGGCCTCTGTCCTCTTACCTTGATAAGTGACGGTGACGTCAGTTGGAAGGGTCACTGTGAGGTCCTTATACAACAGTCTGGCCCAAAATGGGAAGCACTGGCCTCTCAGCTCCACTTTGTAAGTAAATGATAGCACGTTACACAGTGAGTTTCTCTGCAAGGGCCCCGCCAGAAAGGCTGCAAAGTCACGCTAATGGAGGTGGGGATCAAAACAGACACAAATGACAATTACAGCTCCAAAGGCAGTGAGTGGCCATGCCACTTACAAACACTGTCGACCAAAAATAGGGCCCATTAATTAAATTTCAGAGAAATAAAGGACAGAAAAAGGCCTGAAAAAAGGACTAATGATAGAGATTTAGAAGATAACTAAAAGCCAGCGGTAGCCTAGGAAGGTCTGCAGGAAGCACTTACTAAGTGAATGGTCAGGGGCTGGGGGTACAGGGGAGACACTATTTCTGCTGAGAATTCATTGGCACCATATATATGGCTAAGATGCTTTGTGTCTGCATACACATATCAATTTATCTATCCGACAGCCAGGAGCTTCACCATCATTCCAGATGCATAGAGGGGGAAACACTAAGCTTCTAAGAGTCATGTATTCCCTATTCACATTCATTTCCTGTGTATTTATTCTCTTACCCAACCCTAAGAAGGTAGGGCAGAGTTTAGGCAAAGATGGATAGTATTTCTCTGTATTTCAGAACACACAATTCTGCTCTGCTCTATACCCAAGGCTCAACAAGGCACTTGGCACATAGGAGGGACTCTATCAATCCCTGTTGAATTAAAAGTACAGCAACTGTACTCTACTACTTTGTGAGGGGAAGAAAAGGTCAAGTATAAAACCTTGAGGACCACCATTCGGGAGTGAATAATCCTTTAACCAACATCCATGCTTCAACATCATCCAGTTTTAACAGGGGAAGAAAAGAGGGTGGAAAACAGTTTGTACATAAATAACAAACAAGTATTAGAAGGATAATAGTCAAGCTTCTGGCTCAGTTATGAAACATTTTAAAATACAAAACAAAACTTGCCCTTTTCCCCTTTTAAGCCTATCCTGGGCTCATTAAATGCTACATGAGATTTCAGACAGATACCTGAAGTCGATCTGCCTGGTACTTCCTCCCAGCGTAAGCATTTAGGTATTCACAGAGACTGAACAGGAAGTGCTGAATATCAGTCTGTAAGTATTTTGTGGATATCTCCTCTAGGGGAATGAAGACTGGGATTGAATGGTGATGTATCCGAAGTGGTTTCTGTATGACAAGGTCCACGAAATAGGAATCCAGCAGGTGCCCCTCAAAAGCAGTGTGGATGCAAACACAGACCCCTCGGCTGGTCAGCTTCCCACTGAGCCCTGAGGCAAACAAGACAACACCTCTCAACAGCTGTCAGGCAAAGTCAGTACCTCATTCACCTGTGCATCCCAGTTGCTTCAGCACAACCTAATACATAGAGCATGTGCTCAAATGTTTGTTGGATGAATGAATATCACAGACTCTTTCCTCTCATCGACTCTGGCTCACTCTGAGTTGTTAAAACCATGGAAGAACGGTGGACCAAAAAAACCATCTTAAATATCAAATTACTGAGGAAGAGATTATAAAATTTTCAATTTACCTATTCTTTTTTTCTGAGTGTCAAAGAATTTATGATAGTCCTCAGTTCTTCCCACAGTCCTCTTGAAACATAGATAAATCCCCATTTTAGTGGTGAAACAGAGACTCCAGGGGTTCAAACTATCTGACCAGTGGCACAATGCAAACCAGCAGTACAGGATGCCAAACAGCTTGCCAGCGTTGTGTGTATGTTGAGAGGGCAAAACCAATGCTCAAGAAATAAGTCTAGGACTAATAATACATCTAGCAAACTCACTCACTAAAGACAAGAGACCCAGACTGAAACATGTCAGAAAAAAGTATACCTGTAAAACGATATGCCTGTAGAATGGCTTTCACGTTTTCCCTTTTTCTTTCCCAAACTTCTTGCTCACTGATCTCCAATGTTTGGTTGGGTTCTGCACTGGCAGTATGTTCAACCTGCAAGATATGCAGCAAATAAAGCTGGATACAAAGAAGCATAACACAGCTCTGCCCTCACTTAACTGGAACAAAGCTGAATGCAGATGATTATGTAACGAATGAAGAAACGCTGCAGTGGTCTGCCAGTTAGTGCTACGAATTCACAGTACAGGAAGAATCTTGTGGGTCACAGTGCTAGGAATCAGAAGTGGAAATTGTGCTGGCCTGAAAACAATTAGGAACTTAGTGGGAATAAAGAATACTGTGAGAGGCGAAAGAAAAGGGTGTGAAGAAAGTCTAGGATGAGCACAAGGTGAGCACAACAGCCGTAAGGAAGCAAGGTTAGGAAAGGTGGTTTGGGTCAGACTGCAGGCTTGCAAGTGTCAGAACTACTGACTGAGACAGACACTTAGAGCTATGGCCCATAGAGGGTCTCAGAATAGCCCTCCTTCTGAGAACTACACAAGCTGGATGAAATTCCAAAAGTAAGCAAACAAGCATGCCAGCAACAAGCAGAAAATGGTCTGAAGGCATTAGAGAACAACCAAAATAGCCAGATTGGAGATTAATGCTAAATGCTGTGAGCTTAGCGAGGCTTTCCCTACAGCTTTTCCCCTCAAAGCATTTGATTTCTGTCAAGACATATGGGCCAAATAGAAGGCCGCATGACTGTGGAAAAGTTAGTCAGTGAAGATATAAAACATCTGAACCTCATTTGGTGTATTTGACATATATACCACACAGTATCCAACAAATGCAAGATCCTCTATTTCACACCATACATAAAATCAATTCCAGGTGGACTATAATTCTGAAAGTAAAATGTAAAATAAACCTTTTAGAAAATAAAATATCTTCATGAATTTAAGTTAGGCAAAGGTTTATTAAAAGGAAATAGGAACAGTAAGCATAAAATTAGAATCCTAAATCAAACTTCATTAAAACGAAACTTTCTTTTCATCACAAGACACCACTAGAGAGTGAAAAGGCAAGCCACGGTATAAGACAAGATTTGTAATACATATACCCAAAAAAGAACTCACATCCAAAATAGGCAAAGAATTCTACAATTAAATAAGCTAGACAACCCAATAAAATTTTTGCAAAAGCCTTGAAAAGCATACTTCACAACAGAAGATTTTGAGGTGTCCAATATAAGTACTTACCATCGTTAATCCATAATGAGATACTATTACAGTTCCACCAGCATGTCAAAATTTTAAAACTGACAATAACACGTATTGATATAGATGCAAAGCAATGGAAATCTTATACACTGTTGCAAGGAACGTGAAATTGGTACAATCACAAAAACTGTTTGGCAGTATTTACTAAAACTAATATGCATACCCTATAACCCATCAACGCTGACAGATCTATACCTAGTAGAAAACTGTATATTTTTACACCAAAAGACAGGAACAAGAATGTTCTTAGCAGCAGTATTCTCAATAGCCCCAAAGTGAAACAGCCCAAATAATCCAAATGTCACCAACAGTATAACAGGTAAATGAATTGTGGAATACTCATAAAATGGTATTACTATGCAGCAATAAAAAAAGAATGACCACTACATGGATGAATCTCACAGACATAACATTCAGCTAAAGAAGCCAGAGCTTATACTTTTAACATTATTGGAAGTTCAAAAACAAGTAAAACCACTGTATGATGACAGAAATCAGAACAGTGGTTACTTGGAGGGAAATGACTAGGTATGTAGGAGGGCGACTTCTGGGCACTGATAAATATTCTATACTTTGATCTGTATGGAACAGGGTGTGTTCACTTTGTAAAACGTTCTTCAGATTTGCGCACTTCATATTTACATATAGTTTTTACTTTAATAAAGAGTGAAGGAAGGGAGAAAGGGAGGGAGGAAAAGGGAAGGAAATGAAGGGGGACAGCAAGAAAAAGAAAGCTGACCACATCCCATGGGCAGTGAATGGCTATTGAAGGTTTTAGAGCAAGGAAACGATGCAGTGGTTTATGAAGCATTTTCTTGGTCGTGCAGGACTCATTGGGGAAGGATAAACACCAGAAGAGAACCAAACAGAAACTGCTGCAACAATCCTGGCATCCAAATCAGCTGATAAATAATTAGAACACATGTGGATAATGCTTAAGCTATTGCAGTGGAGTGAGGGAGACAGCACGAAGACAATCAAGAAAAATTTGACAGTTCTTGCTGGCTGGACCTGGCCTAGGCAGAAAACTGAAAAGAAGGAAGGGTCAAAGTTTACCGTGAGGCTTCAAGTCTGGATAACAGGAAAATGGCACTAATGACAGAAGTACCAATGACCCAAACCAGGCTGAGGTAACAGGTTCATGCCTCTGAGGGCAGATTAAGAGACCATTAGGAAGAATTTGCCTGGGCCATCAATAATGCCTGACAATTGTTAGTTGATGTTAATATTGAAACTCTACAGGTTTGATCATTTGAGGGGTCAAGGACTGAAATTGATCCAGTAAGAACACAGGTAAAATTCAATATACAAATTTGCTAATCCCCAGATCATGTTCTTTACACCCTAGGAAGCCTGCCAACAATCACCCTTCTACTCACTCTGGCTTCACGTTGTTTCGCTTCAGCCCTCAGTTCATCTGGCAGACTTCTCAATTTACGAATCTTGGTCCCAGGAGAGCTTCCTACTGCCTGAGCTCCCTGCGGCTCTTCCAATTTTTTACGGGACCTGTTCACTTGAGTTTCTAGTCTTTCCAAGTGAGCTAAAACACCTGAGGGATGTAAAAAGGGAATTTCACAAGAAGCCAAGGATTTCTAATTCTGGCAATAGAGAGCATTTTAGGAAAGAACAGAAGGTGACCCATTTTTCAGAACTTGGTGGCCAGCTAAACTGTTAGGCATTGGGCACAATTTATAAGAGCAGAACTGACAACAGAAATCAAAGATCAGCAACCTCTTAGCCTGAATACTGATGTACAAGCAGTCCCTAACCAGGACAAACGTTCAAATGGATCATTACCTGAATATAGCCAATCGCAGTTATCCATGCTAATGACCCAGAGGAAAACAGGGTCACCAAATTCACCCACTCTCTCAGAAAACTGTTTTTTAAAACGTGAAATTGTTTTTTAAATTGGGTTTTATACATGTTTTCTCAAAGTGCTAATGCACAACTCTATGAAGCTCTGAAAAATACTAGTAGCACAGGACTATAATGACCCAAACTAAAGGGAACTGTCCACAAATATTACTAGGTATCAGAGAAGAAAACAAGCTCACCGCTGGATAGAAATTCAGAGGCAAATTTTAGTTCCCAAGAGACTGGCTAAGCACCAACACAGGCATACCTATTTTTATTGAGCTTCCCTTTGCTGGGCTTCACAGATGTTGTAGTTTTTGCAAAGTGAAGGCAAGTCACTCCCGCCCCCCGCCGCCCCCAACACACACACACACACACACACACACACACACACACACACACACACACACACACACACACACACACACACACACACACACACACACACACACACCCATCCACCCACCCACCCCACCCCAGTAAAAAGATTCAACTCGCTTTACTGCAGTGGTCTGGAACTGAATCCGAAACATCTCTGATGTATGCCTGTACAGTAAAGGTCACATTTTCATAATGCTAATCAACTCCAACAATGAAGCATTTGCGAAACACTTTCTACATATTACGACACTGTCCTAGGTGCTCTACTTGCAAAGCATGTAAAAAATTAAACAAAACATTTATTGAATATTTCCTATATATTCGGCTAAATGCTTTACTTGAGACACATGAAAAGAATTTTCTAATTTCCACAATCACCACCACAACAATACTAGTAGTCACCTCCATTTTCCAGGTGAAAAAAATTGAAGCAGAGAAAGGTAAAATAACTAGCCCGAGGCCACAATATTTATGGGAAGAGCCTGGACTCAAACCCATGTCTAATCAATGCCAAAGTCACTGCCTGGCACTGCCTCTTCCACAGGGGAATGGCCCCTGCATAAATGGACCCAAAAAATCCTGGGAAGAGAGGAAAACCACCTTGCTGGCCAAAAAACCACAGCTCTGAATAGAAACACAGTATAGTACGAATGCAACCTATTTGTTTAAAAAGGGGCAGGAGCCTAGAAATAAAGTAATGTTTTCCTGTCCAATGATCTTAGTTGCCAATCCCTTTAAGTCTTCAATACAGGCATATCCCGAGATACTGCGGGTTTGGTTCCAGACCACCACAATAAAACGAGCCCTCAGCTTTTTTCAGATGGAGGGCCTTGCCTTCAATTTGTAAAAGGCGCCCCTGGTGAAGCACAATTAAACGAGGTATGCCTGTATTAGTTCATGTCACTATTCTGCTCCCGAACAGGGCAAGTCACACCAGTTAGAGGAGAAAAGGGCTCTTTCACAACCTGAGGGTCATCTCTGGACAGCAGTAGTAAGGGGGGAAAAGGCAACTCCTTGAATACCTCCTTTGGACTCGCCGTCTTGACTTAAAGCATTCTCAAGTTCCATCTCCTCCTCAAATTTCCAAGAGCCTTCCTATGAATCTCTCCAGGCACCGGTAATAAGGACCTAGGTTTCCTCGCTGACAAATGAAAAATGGAAAGAAAATCACTTCTACAGTATTTACAAACCCAGTGGGTAGGGCACACACAACTCTGGCCCCCGGACACTCCAAGTGCCATTGCTAGGACTCTCCCTCCCTCTATCCCGCTTTACCTGTTCATCCGGTGCGAGTCAGAGGTACCGCGTCCACCTCCCCACCCATGCGCGCTCCCGAGGGCGCAGACCCTCCGGCTCGGCCAGGTTTCCTTGCACACGGAAGGAGCTGTAGAGGCCGTTCAGCCTTCCACCCTGGTCACGGTCCCGTTCCTCACTGCGTCTTATTCCCCCTTACCTCCTCTCTGGCTCACTTAGTCGAGAGACAAGAATTCCCGCCGTCCTCTCCTTCAAAACCAAGCCCAGCATGCTTTGCGTACCCGCCGTACAAAAACATGGCAGCGCTCAGAGCCCCTCCTCGGTCCCGGCATGCACCGCGGAGCAGGCCAGGCCTTTCTGCTGGGCAGGAAGATGGCGGCATCTGGGGCAGGGCCGCAGATCTTGGTACAATACTTGGTCTTACGAAAGGATCTATCGCAGGCTCCGTTCTCCTGGCCCTCAGGCGCACTGGTAGCGCAGGCTTGTCATGCAGCCACTGCGGCCTTGCACATTCACCGGGACCACCCACATACGGTTGCTTATCTCCAAGAGCTGGGGCGCATGCGCAAAGTGGTCCTCGAGGTGAGGCACCAGACGGGGGTGGGCCGTGAGGATGTCGAGGCCGGAAGTGGGTGTGGTCTTGGGTCTCAGGGCCCAACCTGGTGGCGTGGGTGCGACGTTAGTACGGAGAAGTTTTTAACACCTGAGTTTTGGAAAGCGTTCTGCGGGGACTTAAGTAAGCTACTGCCGTGGCTGGGGAGGGCATCAGTGTGAAGAGTGGACACCGGGTTCGTTAGTAATGCTTCCCGCACCCCTCCGGTCTCACTTGCGTCCCCCTTAGTAGATACCTGTGAGGGCGGAGGCTGGTGGAACGAGACCCGCCTTTCTACCTGTGCGTTGGGCCGGCCTTTTAATGCCGCACTGAAAAGTGTTGCCCCTCCACCCCGTCACTCGCAAAATCAATCCAGAAGGGATAATGACGTGGGATTCCTTATTGCCAGTGAAGCCAAGATGAAGCAGTTACCTGGGCATGATACCAAATTATTTGAAAATAAATCTGAACCCTAGCATCAGAAATACCAGACACCAGGGGTGTAAAATAACGGTGAAGTCCTTTTTGCAGATGGCCAGAGTTGACCCAACAGAGTTAGTCGATTCTGTAGAAATGTATCCTAAGAAAATAGAGGCACCCAAAGAGCATTGTACAAGGATATTCATAGGAACACTTTGTCATAGTAAAAGGTGTGGAAGTTACATTTCCAATACTAGGGATTGGTTAATTTATGCCCTTATAATGGATGATGAAATGCATAAATCATGTTTTTGGAGCATATTTAGTTGGCATGGAAGGGTGCTCATGATGTGAGGCTTACTAACTATATTCTAAATAAAAAAGATCCAAATTTTGAAAGGATATTTCAGACCTGCCAGGCACAGGGCTGACCCTAATTTCATCGAATCCTCACTACTATTAGGAAGTGTTAGCATCCGTGTTTTATAAAGGGGAAACAAAAGTCCAGCTAAGTCACATAACTTTTCAAAGATCACACCATCGGCGAGTGGTAGAGTAAGTTTGGACTCACTCTGACTTGTACTATGTTGCTGCCTGGTGCTGAAGGAGGAAAGGGAAGCTCAGGAGTCCTCCAGCATGGCTCTGCCTGAAGTGCTCAGTAGATTCATTGCGCAATTCCTGCATCCTCTAATTTGATCAAACAAACCTTGAGTTATCTTAGCGGCTTCTGCCTTCATAGGCAAAACATTTACCTTGTGCCACATAACACAATAATTGTCTTTATTTTCTGAATGATAGCTTTAGTACTTCTGATAATGGTATTCAGCACAGGTGATAAAGATGGTCAGAGAAAATTACAGAAGGATGTCAGAGACTAGTATACCTCTCCTTTGAGTTAACAAGTGGAATTATCGCAACAGAAGGAAAATCCTAGGTTTGGGTGGGGTAGGGTGGGAGGGGAGGAGGGAAGTGGAGGCCATGTGATTCTAGAAATGCTTCCAGGAGTCAGCTCTTAAAGTCAGAGCTGGTTGAAGGATTAGGGAAAGCTGTTTGGGCACCGGCCATAAAATAACTAGAAAAGGTATAAAGCATAATTACTGACAATACATACAGCATCTCAAGAAGGGAGAGAGAAATCGTCATCTTATAAACAGGAACATTAAGCCTCGCCTCCTATCCCCCTGCTCCCCCCCCCCCCCCTGCTGCTTATCTACGGTCCTACAGAGAGTGAATGGCAAATGGAGCAAAGAAGCTGTTGCTTCTGGAAACGTGCTCTATAGCGCCCTCTTTGGTAGAGCTGTAACTCCACTTTCAGTTATCGGAATCCCCCACCATCCTTTTCCTGTTGTCTTTTGACACTTCCTAAATGGGCTGTTCGATGTGTGTTCTGTGTTCTGCTCCATGTAGGCACCAGATGAGACCACCCTGAAGGACCTGGCTGAGACGCTGCAACAGAAGAACATTGACCACATGCTGTGGCTGGAGCAGCCAGAGAATATCGCCACGTGCATTGCGCTCCGCCCCTACCCCAAGGAAGAAGTGAACCAGTATTTGAAGAAGTTCCGATTGTTCAAATGACTGATGGTATCAGTTGCTTTGATATATTTGAGTATCAGCTGGATCCAGAAACTACATGCTATCTAACTCTAAGCATCATGTACTCCTTTCAATGGCAACTCACTCTTCCCTTTAAATTATAGCAGTTCCTTCAGGGTCAAACACATATTAAAGTTGTCATTAATAAGTACTTCCTCTTATTTTTAATTATTAGGAATCTCATGGGGAGAGTAAGTGAGCAGCAATATCATCTATGGGTCATTGTTCAAATAGAAGATGGTTTAGACTCCTATAAGTGGTCAAGGAAACGCCCTTCCATTTTTGTTAGGAATAATAGTGTTCTTCCAGTCACCCAGGTTGCCTTTGAATTCCTTACTTCTTATTCACATTCAATTATCAGATTCACTGAATCTAAGACATGGTGAATTTAAGATACACCATTATTTTATGTGCTAAGAAATGCCAATCAAATTAAGACATGCAAATAAGTATAAGATGTATTTTAATTTCACACATGTTGAAATATACATATTTATTTCTTAGATTTGACGAAGTTTGTCGAGTACTACATCTGTTGTCTTGTGGTTGCTGGTGCTGCCATCCTGGTACAGGTATCAGGCTCTCACTGTGCTCATCATAGTGTCTGACAGGTCCGCTCAGCTCTAGCATGCTCTCGTTACAATCCAGCCGTCTCAGCCACCAGGTTTCTATAGGATCACTGAGCACTTTGGTCAGTACAGGCCCCAACTTGCCCATGGAATAAAATCAGAACCCCCTTGCTTAGCCTTCAGGCCCTCACATTTATATTCCTACCTGTCTTTTTAGGTGACTCTTCTAGTCCTTTATCCAAACTTGATGTTTTAACAAAGACACTCCGGTGGCTGCCCTCCAGTCTCTGGCCTGGGAGTTGAATGTCAGTATTCTTCCTCTCCCTTTCCAGCCTCTGGACTTTTATTTCTGACTCAAGTGCTATACCTTCATAAGTCTGACCCAGCCAAAAATGATAGTTATCTTCTCTGAACGTCTATAACACTCTGTACAATTAAAAAAAATATTTCTATCAACAGTTGGAGGGCCGGCCGAGTGGCACATTGGTTAAGAGCTGGCTTGGGACACCAGCTCTGAGCATCAGGGCCCTGGTTCGGATCCCACATGAGGGCCAGTGATACTGCCCTCTACAGCTAAGATGGTAAACAACAACTTGACCTGGAGCTGGCTGCCGTGAGGTGACGGTGACGGTGTAGGCTGTAGAGGGGCTGCAGTGGGCTGCCATAAGCTACCTACCGTATGTGGCCAGCAGCCAGCGTGAACGGCCAAGAACCACTGTGAGTGGCTGTCCAGAGGTCAGCGACTGATCTGTCTCACCCAGGAAGAGCGCAATGATAGTATTAACATGGCCAGTGACGAAAGGTCCTCCATAACTAGACTGAAGAACAAAAGGACAGCAACTTGTCTGTTCCCCTTCCCCCGATTCCCCAATAAAAATCTTCAAGAAAAAAAAAGTCCAGGGCCGGCCAAGTGGCACGTTGGTTAACAGCTGGCTTGGGATGCAGCTCTGAGCAGCAGGCCCCAGTTTGGATCCCACAGATGAGGGCCAGTGATACTGCCCTCTACAGCTAAGATGGTGAACAACAGCTCAACCTGGAGCTGGGCTGCCATGAGTCACTGGTTATAGTGACGGCGTAGGCTGCAGCCGCTGCTGCAGTGGGCTGCTGTAAAGCTACCGTGAGTGGCTGAGCCAGCGTGAGTGGCCGGCAGCTGGTGTGAGCTGCCAAGAGCCACTGTGAGCGGCCATCCGGTGGCTGGTGACTGATCTGCCTCAGCTGGGAAGAGCACAATGATAATACCAACATGGGCCAGTGAAGCAACATCCTCCACAACTAGACTGAAGAATAAAAAGACAGCAACTTGTCTGTTCCCCTTCCCCCGATTCCCCAGCACTGTTCCCCTTCCCCAATTCCCCAATAAAATCTTAAAAAAAAAAAAGTCCGGAAAAAATTGGAAGAGGCAGAGTCAAGGGCATAGGAAAGGATTGGCCTTGAATATACAGAAACTTTTGGGTTTTTTTTTTAGCTGAGCCTTCCTGCCACCTGTTGCAGCTCAGCTTGGGCCGGGAATTGAACCAGTGACCCTGTTGCTCAGAGCTTGCACTCTTGAGTGAGCTCTTAACCAACTGAGCCACTTGGCTAGCCTGAGAAACCTTTTTTGAGATTGTAGGAAAGGAAGTAGGGAAAGGTATGCATATACATGTTTATGAATTAAGGAGGAAGAAAGTTGAAGTTGCCCATACCCATTGACTTAATTTTTTATAAAGTAGGAAGCATATAGCCTTTCATAACACTGAACAAACTTATTGAGTTCTGTATTACATGACATAGCATAGTGATTAAGAGTACAGACTCTAGGGCCGGCCAAGTGGCACGTTGGTTAGGAGTTGGCTTGGGACGCCAGCTCTGAGCAGCAGGGCCCCAGTTTGGATCCCACAGGAGAGCCAGTGATGCTGTGCCCTCTACAGCTAAGATGGTGAACAACAGCTCGACCTGGAACTGGGCTGCCGTGAGTCACTGGTGATGGCGTAGACTGCATTGGGGCTGCTAGGCAACAGGAGCGAGCTTTCATGAGCTGCCGTCCAATGGCCGGCGAGCGACTGCCTCAGCTGGGAAGAGTGCAATGATAATACCAACATGGGCCAGTGAAGCGACGTCCTCCACAACTAGACTGAAGAACAAAAGGACAGCAACTTATCTGTTCCTTCTCCAATTCCCCAATAAAACCTTGAAAAAAAAAAAAAGGACAGACTCTATTATAGTCAAATTTCCTGAGTCCAAATCCTGACTGTTATACATTCAAGCTGTGTGAACTTGGGCAAGGCACTCAACTTACCTGAGCCTCAGTACCTTCGTCTGTAAAACAGGGATTTGTAGGGGTGCTATGTGGACTATTGGGTCTTCGGAAAAGTCGTGATGTATTTTGTCTATGTTTTTCAAAGGTCATTTATTTATATAAAGAACAAAGATCAATCGATGATATATTGCCTGTTTTGTTCAATAACCTTTTGCCATCTTTCAGTGAGCTCCATAATTTCTCGTTCATAGAATGACCTGCCTTTATTTGTAAAAAACTGAACGAGGTGCTGATTTACAGCCTCATCTGAATTGAACGTTATACCACGTAAGGAGTTTTGAAGAGAGCAAGACAAGTGGAAGTCTGATGGAAGTCTGAGATCAAGCGAGCATGGTGGGTGTGGCAGCACATCCCCTCCAAGCTACAATAATTTTTGATGGGTGATCAAGCTTGTGTGTGGTCTCGCGTTGTTGCGATGGAACACAACTCCTTTACAATTTAACAAACTCTGGACATTTCTGGATGATGGATTCGTTCAAACTGTCCAATTGCCGACAGTACACATCTGAATTGATTGTTTGGTTCCTTGGAAGGAGCTCAAAAAACATGACAACACTGAGGACAGAAAATCCCACCACACTGAGAGCATAACCTTCCTCTGATGAATGTCTGCTTTCGATGTCGTTTGAGGCGAATCATCATGTCCAGACCAAGACCGTTTGTGCACCACATTGTTGTAAACAATCCACTTCTCATCACCAGTTATCAATCGCTTCAAAAAAGGATCATTTTCCTCATGTTTAATAAGCATGCTGCAGATGTTTATATGCGCCGTCAAATGAACTTCTTTGAGTTCATGCAGAACCCGAATTTCGAGCTTGCTTACGTATCCCAGCTTCATCAGGTGGTAATGAACGCTTGAATGGTGGATGTTCAATGTTTTTGCAATCTCTCGTGTTGTGTAATGTGGGTTTGACTTGATCAATGCCTTTATTTTGTCATCATCAACGTTGGTGGGCCTTCCTGCCCGAGGAGCAACGTTGAGATCAAAATCAACAGCACAGAATTTCATGAACCATCTTGTTGGCACTGATGTTCTTGTAGAGCATTGTCACCGTAAACTTTATGCAACTTTTCACAAGCTTGATGTGCATTCTTCCCTTTATGGAAGTAAAACAGTGAAATATGGCAAAAATGCAGTTTGGTTTTCATCTTCAACTTGTAAGATCTCCAAAACTCAACCAAATCGCTCAAGTTTTTTAAAGAATGAAACTAGAAATGTCAGCTGTCAAATGACATAGCAATAACATAGATGCGAATGACTCTAGTACTTCCAAAAATGAACTAGTGCCATCTGTTGCAAACATGCGTCATGACTTTTCCGAAGACCCAATAAATGTGTTAGCAGGCACGAATTCCTGAGAACAGTGCCTGCGCACTTGGTGCTAGAATCTAAGCATGAAAATATATCTTAAGACACAGCCCTTAAAGAGCTGCCCTCAAAAAGCTTTCAGTCAAGTCAGCCAGTCTGCTGGGGAGTGATGCCATCCAAGAATCATCCAGCACTCCCTGCTATTTCCAGTCAAGGCAATTAGGAAAATGTTTCCAAATGACACTACATCTTAAAAAAACATTAAAAAAAATTCTGAATTCTGCACTAAGACAATAATAAAGCCAGAGAGAGATGTGAGTCTATACAACTAGGAAATAACAGTTCAGGCAAATCCCTAAAGCAGAGATCTGAACACAAACACATACATTTCTTTTGGGGAAAGGAGAGGCACTCATGCTGACCCTGAGTGAGAGTATTGCTGAGTGAGAGCAATGCAGGAGCAGGGAAGTAGCAAGTTTTCTTATTAGTATCAGCTAAGACCATTAGCATTTGACCTACATCAGTGGTTCTCGAAGTGTGGTCCCTGAATCAGCATCACTTGCGTACTTGTTAGAAATACAGTACAAATTCTCAGGCCTGACCCCAGACCTACTGAATCAAAAGCTCTGGTGTTCTCTAGAAGCAGCCTGGTCCCAGGAGGCAGCCAACATAAAAGGTGAACAATAAATGTGTGTGATTTAGAGTCAACACATTATGATAGTGTATAAGGTGTTTACAAGGAGTCAAGATGGAGAACAAGGACCTGGCACTAAGTACACTGTATCTGGCACTGCGTACCAAGTTTACAAAAAATGTATTCTTCAATACAACAAAGGTTGTGCTGCAAGCCGTAGAATAGGCGGTAAGTCTTGGACAAGAATCTCCTATACTTTAATACATTTCTTATATGTGAAAAATGTTGTATAAATAAGCAAGTGCTTCCATATGTGCTAATCAATCCTGCCAATTTTGTG